CATATCGATTAGAGCGACGACGATCAGACCTCGAATTTCAGGAAGGGGACTTTGTTTTGTTAAAGGTGTCGCCCTTGAAAGGGATTATTCGGTTCCGCAAGAAGGGCAAATTGGGGCCCCGGTTCATAAGACCGTTCAGGGCCCGGGTGGGCAAGGTGGTATATCGATTAGAGCTTCCAGAGGAGCTTAGTCGGATTCACAACACCTTCCATGTATCTCAGCTTCGGAAGTGTGTCACCGACGAATCCTCAGTCATACCCTTGGACGACATTCAGTTGGATGGGAGCCTGAATTACGTCAAAAGACCAGTTGCGATTTTGGAAAGGAAGACAAAGAAGCTCCATAATAAAGAAGTGAAGTTGGTTAAGGTGCAATGGCAGCACCGAAGGGGTTCCGAATGGACTTGGGAATCGGAAGATGAAATGCGAGGTTTCTACCTAGAGTTATTTGAACCAGCAGGCTTCGAGGACGAAGCCTAATTCAAGTGGGGGAGAGTTGTAACGCCTTGATCCTTAGGTACTAATAATGATATTTTGGTTTGTCTTTTTAGTACCTACTCGACGAGTTGACCTCCCTACTCGTCGAGTAGTAGCGGGTTTGCCAGTGCAGTTTAATGATCTACTCGCCGAGTTCACTATAGGACTCGATGAGTAGATGCTGGTAGCTGAAACCCTTAACTTCGGGGCCTTGGACCCTATTTAAAGGGTTATAAGCCTTCCCTAGCCTCCTCTTTACAATTTTTTTCCTCCCAAAAACCTTAATTCGAGTGTGAGTATGTTTCTTGGTGACTTAAGTTTGAAGGAAGGATTTGGTGAAGGGAGCACTTGAGGAAACAAGTTAGAAGAAGCAAAGGACTCGTGGGGATTCAATATCTACCTCTGCGGAGCACTTTCAGAAGGTATTAAGCTGTTCCTTGGCTCATTTCCTTCCAAAACCCTTTTGTGCATGGATTCTAGGAAGAGGCTTTTGTGTTTAAGCTAAGATTTGAAGTTGTAACTTCAGATCCGGACTCCTTTTGACCTTGAGATGCATAAAGTTATCCATTTAGCCTAGCATGAGTCTCCCCTCAAGTGTATGACTCAATCCCAAGCTTAGATTTGCTATTTTAAGGCCTTAAAGCCTTGCATGCACATAAAGTTTTCAACTTTACGTGAAAAGCATGCCTCACGAGCCTAGATCTGTAATTTGGAAGCATTACATGGCTCCAATGAGTCTGTATGGCTCGAGATCTGATAGGACTCGACAAGTCTCAGGGGGAGACTCGGCAAGTCATATGAAGACAGGCATGGACTCGACGAGTTGGATGAACAACTCGGCAAGCCAGATGAAGATTGCCTAGAACTCGACGAGTTAAAGGAACAACTCGGCGAGTCAAGTAAGATTCCCCAATTGATTTGATGGTCGTGAACGTGTCGAGTGGCAAGCAAGGAAACCCGACGAGTGAATCTTAGATTATCAGTCAAGACTGTATGAACTCGGCGAGTCACCTCGATGACTCATCGAGTTGATGTTATCTTGGGAAACTCGGCGAGTCACTAGTTGTACTCGGCGAGTTAGGGTCAACATGGGCTGTTGACTTGATCCTAACTGAAGTGGACCAGGGCGGACTTTAAGGTTAATGACTGGGCATTATATGTCACTTTTAGGTAGTTGAGTTGGAGCAGTTCGTGGGGCATATCTAGTCGAAAAAGTATTAGTTCAGCATTCGTGACAGGTGAGTCTTCTCACCACACCTATGGGTCTAAGGCACCAAGGCCGACCCATTATGTGATTACAACAGATGTGTTAGATACTCTGTGTTTGCTTTGCTATGTGATTGCATGTTGTATAAAGACCCCGGGGGAGCCCGTGGCATTGGATGTAAGACCATGTGGGGTAGCCCATGGCACTGGATGTAAGACCATGTGGGGTAGCCCATGGCAATCCTAGGTAAAGACCATGTGGGGTAGCCTATGGCACTATTACAGGTTTGATGTATGCATGGTTTATGTATTATGTGTGTAGCTTTATGGCTATCAGGATACGTGATTATGTGTGGTATGCTCTGGGAAACTCACTAAGCGTTTCGCTTATAGGTTGGTGATTGTTGCAGGTACTTTGGAGCCTAAGGGCAAAGGCAAGGTGTGATGGCGTGGCGTGTACTCTACCTCTCTTTTGGACGTTTTGGGGACTCTCTGATGATTTCATAAAAACACAACAATGATGTAATGAATGTGAATTGGAAACAAATGTTTTGAAAACTTATGGAATATGTAATCGAATTACTTATTAAAACGAAAAATTTTCTTTGTAAAATTTGGGATGTTACAAAATGGTATCAGAGCCTTGGTTTGAGAGATTCGGAAACATCCTCGGATGTTTCAGGACTCAAACTGAGGAAGTGGTAAACGTTTTCAAAAGTAACTTAAAAAGGATTTTTTAAGCCTAAAAGAAGAGAGTACAACGCGCGTGATCAGCCGAGCCAAGTAAGTAGTTTCACAATTCGAATAGCCATGTTATACTGAAAATGAGCTCTGTTGATTATGTGAAATTGCTAAGTGTATGTTAAAAAAAATTATATACGGTTAGGAGTGGCAGCCTCAGAATGAGTGATTTAGCCTTATTTCCTTTTCCTTGTTCGGATGTGGTTTTAGGGTAGAATCTCTTATTCAAAATTCTATTTGACCCTTTCTGTGTATAATTTGCATGCCTAGTAGCAACCTGCAGTGATTGGTATGATTGTTGTGAGTAGGATAATCATAGGGTATTCAGGGATTGATTCTTGCGAGGACTGTGAGATATAGTTTTTTTTTTGTTATGATAGTCTTGGAGGTACTGGGTAAAGCAGGGGGAAAGGTACGTGTAGGTGTGGAAGGTAGTACTGGGCCCATACTATTGGAAGCACAGGACCCGTACCCGAACCCATGTTCTATCTAGGAATTCCAAAGAAGCTTGGTATGGATATGATCTCGATGTGGGAATCTTGATCTTTATGTTTGTGTTATGACAGTTCAACATGGTGGTTACGCAATTTGGAGCAGGGAGATCAGGATCAGGATCGAGATCAAGATCAGGATCCGAGGTTGGGTCAGGCGGCCCTACCGATGGTATTGACGAGAGGCTGCGCGAGCTGATCACGGCCGAGGTTACGAGGGGCATCCTTGACGCTACCCCAGTCATCTTGGGACGGTCAAGGAGGGCATGATGGAGATCATGGAGGAGAGACTTAGAGCATTCAGGGCTGATATTTCCACGAGCCAGGGTGGAGCTCAAACTTCCTCGTTTAGGGAGTTCAAGGCATGTGGAGCTCCGGAGTTTTCAGGGGTCCGGGATCCCATTGTGAGTAGACGTTGGGTGGCAGACATTGAAAACGCTCAGCGTACGAGTTCCTGCCCGGAATAAGGTATAGTATCTATTGAACCTCCGATGAAGGTGTTTGGAGGTGATCCTGTTAATTTTTGACGATGATAATCGATACTTTTACGTATTTCGGCGATTTTGTGGTGAAACAAATAAAATTAAAAACAATTAACAGTATACATTCAAAATAAAACAATAATCCAATAAGATAGTATTGATTATATTAAAATTATAATAAATAAAAAGTAATATTTCAATAAATTAATAATTCAAAAAAAATTACAAAAATTAATAATCCAATAATGTATTATTTATTATGATGTAAATCTTATATATTTAAAATAATATTTGTTGATATATAATAATCTAATAAAAAAGAATTGCTCAAACAAAAAGAAATTATAAAAAGAATCAACTAAAAGAAATTAATAATTCAATAAAATAATGTTTCGTAAAATGGAATAATCCCATAAAATAATATTTATTATGATATAAATATTATATATTAAAAACTATATGTACTGATATATAATAATTCAATAAAAAAGAATTACTTCGATAAAAAAAATTTTAAAAAATAATTAGCTAAAATAAATTAATAATCCAATAAAACAACATTTAGTATATGAAGAAAATAATAAATTAAACGTAATAATACAATAAAAATAATTCAAAGTTACAAAAATTAACTAAAAAAATTAATAATCCAATAAGTTAATATTTATTATGATATAAATATTATATATTAAAAACTATATGTATTGATATATAATAATTTAATAAAAAGAATTACTCCAATAATTTTTTTAAAAAAATCAACTAAAATAAATTAATAATCCAATAAAAAATATTTATTAATATATAATGTTATATATTAAAAATAATATCTATTAATACATAATATTTTATTAAAATAAAAAATAATATATGCAAAAATATCATTATAATATAGTAAAAGACAAAACTGTGAAAATGATCATTGGAGGTAAAATTGTTATTTTAAGGAACTTAACGAATGAGGGATCAAAACCACAACAAAACTTACTGAAAAGGACCAAATCTACAACTTTTCAAACGTTTGGACTATAACCACAAAAAATAAAAAACCACAGGGACCATTTTTTGCAGTTTTATCACATTTAAATGATATGGCGGTCGATAAAAAAATATTGTTTTTTTATCGTTTTTTAACAGATACTTCAAATTTTTTTTGCACCAATCACAATCGAAGAGAGAACGCAGCAAAGTCTCCCTCACCCTTCCCCGCACCACCCTTTCCCGCATCAATAATGCGTTATTCCAGCGTTTGAAAAAAGTCCCGCGGCCTCCCCCGCTGTACATTTCGTCCGGCCGTAACAATAATAAAAAAGAACAGAATGAACAGACCAAATGAATGAAAATTCTAAAATACAAACATAAAAAGATAAAATAATCTTTTTAATTTTAATAAAAAACAAATCTAATTTTATTCATTACACGAGGATCCATGGCCAAATCCCTTTGACTCTTACAAGCCAGCCGTGTAAGACCAGAACACCACCAGTTGACTTATGGCGCTGCGCCACCCTACCCCACCCAGTCTTCTAGAGGAAACATGGTTAGCTTCAATTATTATAAATAATAAATCCAATAAAGTTACATGTTTGATTTAAAACTGTACAAGATTTTATTAAGCTACCACTCTGGATTCATCTTTTGTTTCTCTGGAAAGAAGTAAAATTCAGTGGCACAGCCGTATATATAACATTTAACTTCAAGTGCCTTTTTTCAATCATACGACAACAAATCCGCCGCCTCACATATATGTCTAAAACGTCGGCTTGGGATTTAAAAAAATGAAACAAACGTTGTAAAATTTTCCCGGCAACCCAGACCAAAACCGCCGCCGGCGCTTCATCGGAAAATGACGAGACGGCCATCGTTACTATCACCTCCTAAACCCATACATACTCTCTTCTTCTTCCTGTTCATCACAGTGATCGAGTTTTTTGGTGCTAGTTCACAACAGTTCTTGACTTCTGAACGAACGACATTGCTTGACCTCAAGCAACGGTGGGGGAATCCGCCGTCACTGAGTAACTGGAACGCTTCTTCTTCGCCGTGTAAATGGCCAGAAGTTTCCTGCAACGCCGACGGTTCTGTTTTTGTTCTTGATCTTCAGAGCAAGGGGTTGACCGGACCTATCCCCCCGTTCATATGTGACCTACGGAACCTGGAAATTTTGGTTCTCGCTGATAATCTCCTCACCGGAGAGTTCCCTAGAGTTTTGTATAACTGTTCGAAGCTAACTGAAATTGAAATTGCACAGAACGCATTTGTTGGAAGATTGCCGGACGACATTGACAGGTTATCAGGAGTTAAAGTCATTGATCTCGGAGCTAATAACTTCACCGGCGATATACCTCCAGCGATCGGCAATTTGTCCGCGTTAACGTCCTTGCATTTGTATCAGAACCTTTTCAACGGTTCAATCCCGTCGGAAATTGGAAACTTATCTAATCTGCTAACTCTAGGTTTGGCGTATAATGGATTTGCAGCGGCGGAAATACCACCGGAGTTTGGGAAGTTGAGGAATTTGACGTATTTATGGATGCCGCTAACTAATCTGGTCGGAAAAATACCAGAAAGTTTGGGTAATATGACCAGTCTCGAATGGTTGGATCTGAGTTCCAACAATTTGGAAGGTGAAATCCCTTCTGGGTTGTTTCTGCTAAAGAATTTGAGTAAGTTGTATTTGTACAAGAACAAATTATCCGGCAAAATTCCGGAGGTAATCGAGTCTTTAAATTTGACTGAAGTCGATGTCTCCATGAACATGTTGAACGGCTCAATTCCTGAAAATTTTGGCAAATTACAGCAGCTGGAGGTGTTAAATTTGTTCTCAAATCAGTTATCAGGCAACATTCCCACAGGTATTTCTCAAATTCCGGCACTGAAAATCTTCCGATTGTTCAGAAACATTCTCAGTGGGGAGTTACCTCCGGAAATCGGGCATCACTCAAAGCTCGAAGCATTTGAGGTATCTGAGAACAAACTCACCGGAGAGCTACCTGAGAATTTGTGCGGTGGAGGTACTTTGTTTGTGGTGGTTGCTTTCTCCAACAATCTCACCGGAGAAATCCCGAGATCACTCCAGAGCTGTGAGAAGCTTCATACAATCCAACTCTACCACAACAGTTTCACCGGTGAATTTCCTCCAGGAATTTGGACATTATCTAACCTTTCAAGCTTGAGGCTCACTGGGAACTTTCTTTCCGGCGAACTACCGAGTAGAGTACCATGGAATTTATCAAGATTGGAGATTAGTGACAACAAGTTTTCAGGCCGAATTCCGGAAGGCATTTCGTCTTGGACAAAACTGAATGTGTTCAAGGCTAGTAACAACTTGTTTTCAGGTGAAATCCCGATGGCATTCACTAATCTCTCCCAGTTGTCTGTTCTTCTTCTCGATGGGAATTCACTTTCCGGCCAACTTCCATCAGAGATCAAGTCATGGAATTCACTAATCACTTTGCATCTAGCTAGAAACAACCTTTCTGGCCCGATTCCACCAGCCATCGGTTATTTGAAAGGTCTTCTCGATCTTGATTTATCAGAAAACCAATTTTCCGGCCAAATTCCACCACAATTCAGCAGTTTGAGACTCACCACTTTGAATCTTTCTTCCAACAAACTCACCGGAAGAATCCCATTTGCATTCGACAACCTAGCTTACGAGAACAGTTTCTTGAACAACCCCGATCTTTGTGCATCATCCCCAATCTCAAACCTCCATAGCTGTTACACCAAAACCTCACACTCCCAGAAATTCCCCCCCAAAATCATCGCCATGATTATCGTCTTGTCAGCAGTCGCCATACTCGTTGTCATTCTTTGCACGTTGTTCGTGTTCAGACGATACCTCAAGAAGAAACACATTCGAGATCTGACAACATGGAAACTCACCTCATTCCATAAATTGGAATTCACAGAAGCAAACATTTTGTGTTGCTTGACCGAGAACAACCTAATCGGAAGTGGTGGTTCCGGAAAAGTGTACCAGATTGAAATCGGTAGGCGTGGGGAGTATGTTGCAGTGAAGAGGATTTGGAACACTAGAAAACTCGACCAGACTCTCGAGAAAGAGTTCTTATCGGAGGTTCATATATTAGGTTCAATTCGTCATTCCAACATAGTCAAATTGCTATGTTGTATTTCCAGTGAGGATTCTAAGCTTCTTGTTTATGAGTACATGGAGAATCTAAGTCTTGATAAGTGGTTACATGGGAAGAAAAATAAACCGCAGCGTGGGCTGGTTCACCCCACGGCCTTGGACTGGCCCATGAGGTTGCAGATCGCCATTGGAGCTGCTCAAGGGCTCTGCTATATGCACCACGACTGTTCTCCGGCGATCATACACAGAGATGTGAAGTCAAGCAATATTTTGTTAGACTCCGATTTCAAAGCAAGGATAGCCGATTTTGGATTGGCAAAGGTTTTGACCAAGCCGAAGCCAGGTCAAGCCAACACCTTGTCTGCTATAGCTGGCTCGTTTGGTTACATTCCACCTGGTAAGAACTAACAACACTTTGACTTCAAAAATTCAACCTATTATTTAAATTTAAACAAGATATAGATAAATTATATCCTGAACAGTTTTTACTGATTGATTGCAGAGTATGCTTACTCAACAACTGTAAATGAGAGGGTAGACGTATACAGCTTCGGTGTAGTGCTACTAGAACTGGTAACCGGAAAAGAACCACACGAAGGAGATGGGGATATGAATCTAGCAGAATGGGCATGGAGGTATTTCAGCGAAGAGAACTCCATTGTTGAAGCTTTGGACCCAGAAATCAAACAGGCTAATAGTTTCATGGAAGAAATCAGCCTAGTGTTCAAACTAGGGCTCATTTGCACAAGCACCTTGCCTTCAAGTCGACCAACAATGAAAGAAGTACTTGAGATTCTTCGAAGATGTAATCCGTTAAGTGAAGATCGGAAAGTTGGAGAAGAGTTTGATGTTGCGCCGCTTCTTAGGAGAGAAAGTTATCTTTCTAATTACCGACGTGGCGCCAATAAGGTGTTGAATGAAAGTATCGATATATTCGATGGTAGATTGTAAAGGTTTGATGGTGATATATAATAGTAAGTTTTATGTCATATGTTGATGTTTCATGTGATTATATAGCAGCAATAAAACTTTGTTTTTTGTTAGATTGAATATAATAATACCTGTATTCAAGTTCAGGTTTTTAGCTAAAAAAAAGTGATTCTTTTACATACACCTTTTCTTAGCATCGTGTGTCGACGTATGGAATAGGTTACGTACATAATTGGCTAGTGTTTTTGATGTATTGTTTGTGTGGTTTGAGATACTTTCTTGTAATATGTTTTGTAATAATAAAGGTTAATGCTTCCATTCTTTTGTCTGGCATACATGCTTTCTTACATACCGCCAAGGGGCGGAACACAGGACGTAAAACTATAGGGGCCGGAACATTATTATTTTTTTTTTGTTTACAAACCATGAGGAGTTTAATGTTAAGAAATATTTTTATATATAAAAATTACGTTTAAAATAATTAAAAATTCAATATATTGAACAAACTCTAGCTGCAATGTATTTAAATATCACCATAATTGACGTGTATTATGAAAATAAAAACTAATAACATTAACATTCACAAAGTAATTTAGATAAAACAATTAGGTTAAAAGCATACAACACACACTTCGAACAATTTAGGAGGTGGACAGCGGAGAAAACTAAAAAAAATGGGCAAGAATATAATCCAAGCGGTGGCAGGCTGAGAGAAAAAGAACTAACTGTAATGAGTAAAGTGTGGACTAAAGAAATACAATCATTACGGTTCACAATAGATCGACGGGTAGTGGAAACGATGATGAGCGGAGAGCCAGCGTAGCTCTCCGATGTCCGTTGCTTATTCAATTTTCTCAATATCTCATATTTTACGATTTTATCAATTCGATTTCAAGTTTTTCACCGGGTAGCAGTGGAATTTATACCTAAACTTTTTTTTTTTGTATAATTTCTACTATCTCATGACACACCTTCCTTTATTTTTGGAATTTTTGGAATTTCTACTGCTATATTCTAGGATTAAAGAATCCATAGGATTCGTTTTCCATTTTTTACCCCATGAATTTGGGCTAAAATTAAAACTATATTTTGTTTAAATACAATCTTCTTTTTTAATTTGAGGTGTAATTTGTCATTTTAATTGATCGATTGATCAAGTTAATTCTTGAAAAAATTGTAGTTATGGTTACTAGGCTCAAAAGCACGGGGGCCATGGCCCCCTAGCCCCTTAAGCCCTCTCCCACCGAGTATATGGAATGCTACACTTGTATTTATGTGTGTATCAAAGTTGCATAATTAGATGTGCAAAGTGGTATAGATTACCAGGCTTTCAACCTTGTTGAAGCTGGTTATAATTACACAAACCTTAATTTTTTTTTTTTTTTTGTAACAACTTACCCATACACCCACACTTTACTTTCAAATCTACACATTTCGTTTTGGACTTAAACCCTTAACTTTGACTGAGGGAAAATTTTCATCATATCAAGGTATTGTTGGGCCCCATGCCAATTTTATACAAACTTTACTATTATCACCAACCTATACAATTTGTTATCCAAGTCATCAATGTTTTTCATTTAATGCCTTGTTGTTGTGGAACGACCCAAAAACACGACCCAAAAAAAATTTTCGTTTTTCCATATAATCAAAACCATAATATAAGTATCATAACATAAAACATACGCGATGTATCCCCAAAACATAATAAAATATTGTGCGGAAAAACTGTATCATACTACATCATTCCAAAACATCAAGAGACATCCCCAGGATAAAAGCTATGCTGTGGTGTGTGCGATGCTGTCACCCCGAGCTCTTCCCTTTGCTTGCGGAAGTACCTGAAACCAAACTGAAATTGTAAGCACGAAGCTTAGTGAGCTCCCCCAAACTACCACATACCATACAATAACATATAAACACATATTGGGCCTTGCCCACTGCATCGGGCCGAAGCCCGGAAACTGCATCGGACCGAAGTCCGGAACTGACTGGGACCTTGTCCCCTGCATCGGACCGAAGTCCGGAACTAACTGCATCGGACCGAAGTCCGGAACTAACTGGGACCTTGTCCCCTGCATCGGACCGAAGTCCGGAACTAACTGCATCGGACCGAAGTCCGGAACTGTCTGACTGAACATGGCATAGCATAACACATCAACTAGCATAACACATATACGACATGCTACATCGGGCCGTGGCCCGGAACACATAATACTTAACACATAAAACATAGCACACAAATCCTGTTCGAACCACGAAGGCATCGAACATACTAACTACTGCATCGGACCTAAATCCGGAACTACTGCTAACTGAACGGGCCGGCATTGTGGCCTTAGACCCGTTCCTACTGGAAGGAAACTCACCTCGTAAGCTGGCTGCTGAGTGTGTGGCTCGGAAAGCTAACGGCGGCTGCTCCTGAATCTCCTCGGCTACAAGTCCATAAACACACTCAATCAAATACTAAACACTGCGCTTGGGGTAAAATGACTCTTTTACCCTTGGTCAAAGTCAACTCTCCTTTGGGCTGACTCGCCGAGTTGGGCCACCCAACTCGCCGAGTCCTACTCTCACTTTTCACTTTTACTCACTGCTACTCGTCGAGTCTGGCATCGACTCGACGAGTACCCTCTTGATCCAAGAACTCAGACAATCTTCATCCGACTCGCCGAGTCGGATGAACAGACTCGACGAGTTGTTCTTGATCCCAAGAAGATTGCCTTGGACTCGCCGAGTTGATGAACAACTCGCCGAGTCCCTCCATCACTGAGTTCACCCCAACTCGCTGAGTCCACTCTCTAACTCACCTCGTCCACTCGACACTGATAAAACTGAAGAACTCGGGACTCGCGACCCAACTCGTCGAGTCGTTCTTCCGACTCGCCGAGTTGCCGCCATGCAACTGATTTTTACTCGATTTTGTTTGAATCCAATGCATACAATTGATAGATCTGAGTCCAATAAGCTGATTTACCACGTAAAGTTTCCAACTTTACGTGCACAACCTCATGAATAAGGGAAATAAGGCTAAAAGATGCATAAAATGGGTAGATCTATGGTTATCATGCAATATAACTCCAAAAAGACAGTAGATCTGGCTCTACAACACCCCAACATTCAGATCCATAGCTATTTCGACTTAATAAGACGTTCATGCAAGTGTAAGGCTTGGAACAAGCATCAACTAGCTCTTAGGAGAGCTCTAATGGAAGTTTAAAGCATATAACAAGATGGAACTCCGAAAATACCTCAATTAACTCTGATTTGGCCTTGGATCTTTGCACCACAACACTTCTCCTTGCTTCTTCCTTCTTCTCCTTCTTCACACCTTCACAAAATGGCACCAAAACACATATAAGCTCTTCAAGGGAGGTTTAGGGTTCTAACACTGCGTTCTCAGGGTGAGGGAGGCGAGGATGGGGGCTATAAGGTGGTATAAATAGTGGGCAACCCGAGGATTTTAGGGTTTCACCCAGACAGATGGACTCGCCGAGTCAGGGATATGGACTCGCCGAGTCCCTGGCTCACGCGTGCCCTCAGGCGCGACCCTACTCGGCGAGTCAGGCTAGAACTCGCCGAGTCCCGCTTGAAAAACTCACTAAAATTACCAATAAATCAACATACCGGGAACGGGTCTTTACAATTCTCCCCCACTTGTCTCAGACTTCGTCCTCGAAGTCTGCTACGGCTGGATCTGCAAATAACTCCGGGTAGTGCGCTCTCATTTCCTCTTCAGCCTCCCACGTCCATTCAGACCCCTTTCGGTGCTGCCACTGCACCTTTACTAGCTGAATTACCTTGCTCCTCAAGGTCTTGGTCTTCCGTTCCAGAATTGCGACCTCGCCCCAACAAATCGGGGTCCTGCACTTCCTGCCATATAACATCTCAAAAGGAGGTCGATCAATACTCACATGATAACTGTTGTTATACGAGAATTCCGCTAACGGAAGATACGTATCCCAACTGCCCCCAAAATCTAGAACACATGCCCTAAGCATGTCCTCAAGAGTCTGAATCGTCCTCTCGCTCTGCCCGTCAGTCTGAGGATGAAAAGCGGTGCTGAAATGGAGACGAGTACCCATCTCGTCGTGGAATCGCTTCCAGAATCTGGACGTGAAACGAACATCTCGGTCCGACACCACCGATACCGGCACTCCATGACGTGCCACAATCTCTCGCACATAGATATCGGCTAACTTTTCCGCCGATATACTCTCCTGAATCGGAATAAAATAGGCACTCTTCGTCAACCGATCCACTACTACCCATATCGAGTCCACCCCGCGTGCGGTTCTGGGGAGTTTGGTGATAAAATCCATGGTGATATCCTCCCATTTCCACACGGGAATGTCTAACGGCTGCATCTTGCCGTGAGGTCTCTGGTGCTCCGCCTTGACCTTCCGGCAGGTCAAACATCTCTCCACATACCAAGCGACATCTCGCTTCATGCAGGGCCACCAATAATCAGATCGAAGATCTCGATACATCTTCGTCGCTCCTGGGTGGATAGAAAATCGAGACTTATGAGCCTCGTCCATCAATACTTGCCGTACCCCACCCCAGTACGGTACCCACACCCTACCATGAAGCGTCAACAAACCCCGACTGTCGTAATCAAACGAAGCTACTCGGCCCACTATCCTCTCGCACTTTTGCCTCTCCTCCTTGAGGCCCTCCATCTGAGCCTCCTTGATCCGCTCCAACAACGGAGTGATCACTGTCATCCTCATACACAGATCTCTGATAGGGGCCGTCGACACCTTGCGGCTCAGGGCGTCGGCCACCACATTGGCCTTCCCTGGATGATAAAGGATCTCACAGTCATAGTCCTTCAGCACGTCTAACCATTCCTCTGTCTCATGTTCAAACTTGGCTGATCCATAAGATATCGCAAACTCTTGTGATCCGTGTAAATAGTACAGCGGACCCCATAAAGGTAATGTCTCCAAACCTTGAGGGCAAACACAACTGCCCCCAGCTCCAAATCGTGGGTAGGATAATTAGCCTCGTGAGGCTTCAACTGTCTCGAGGCATAAGCTACTACATGGCCTCACTGCATCAATACTGCTCCCATACCTGTGATCGATGCATCACAATAGACTACGAAATCCTCTACTCCCTCTGGAAAGGTAAGGATCGGAGCCTCGCACAATCTCTGCCTAAGAGTCTCGAACGCCGCCTGCTGCTCAGGCCCCCAACGAAAAACCACCGACTTCTTGGTTAGCCCCGGTGAGCGGCACTGCTATCTTGGAGAAGTCCTGAATAAATCTCCGATAATACCCTGCCAACCCCAGGAAGCTCCGAATCTCAGATGGAGA